ATATATATATATTTTTTCATATATATATATATTTTCGTGATCTACACGTTATTATATTGCTGACTTGTTTAGAAGGTTTATTTATAACCACACTAACACTTGTAACTGCAATGCAATGATCCCCAAAGAAAAAGTACTACTGTGAAGTCTCAGCTTTTTTCTTTGTCGTATGGGACTCACCAAGTTTCCTTGTTTTTTGACCTCCTGATAAGAATACAGATATGCTGCTTCCTGAGTCTTAGGCACTGTTCTAATGCTGTGTAAACACTAAATTCATCTACTCCTCAAAACCTGTCTGTAAAGGGGATACTGCTATTTGCGTTTTAGAGGAGAGAAGCCTAAGGCACAGAGAAGTTAAGTAATCTGCCCAGGTTGGCAAAGGTCAGAGCAAACACAGGCAGCCTGGCTCCTGGGTCAGTCCTCGTAGGTATTGTCTGCCATCTTGCTGCTGCTCACTGTTGAGAAGAGGCAATAAATTGACACATACCAAGTTAGGTAGTGTCAGGCACATAGGAGGCTCTTAGGAAATGTTAGCCATATGAGACATGGGTCTCTTTTTTAAGTATCAATAACTAGCATCCTTTTTTGATCTGGTCCTGAGCCATTCTCCAGCCACCAAGACCCTGCTGAGTCTGGGATTATGGGTCCATGGTGAGTCTTTCCATTCTGAGACATTCATTGGCTTGAGAATATTGAGTGAAGGGATGCCATCTGTTTAATAGCAAATGAGAAGTGATGCCTTAATCCTGTTTGGTGACATGTTCTTTGTTGTTTATGACTCACACATTTCTGATATAACTTGGGATAATGGCGCATTTTTTCTGAATAATGTATTGGTATTGTAAATTTGTATCTTATGATAAACTGTGGTATTCTGAGTGAATTTTATATGTTAAATTCCAAAATCTCTTAAATTTCATCAATGTTTCATGTGAATTGAAGATTACTAAACAATATTATTAGTTTTTAAAAATACCTTCAAGAGGCTATCCCATGTAGCTTCTCTGAAGCCAAGCTAATTATGTACTTCTTCCTCCAGGTGGCAAGTGGTCCAGGAAATGATAAAGGCAAAATGCATTAGTCCCTGTTTCATTCAAAGTTATTCAGGTTTCCCTTGCACTCAAGGGAATGGACACAAGCAGAGGGAAATTATGCTGAAACTGTGGCATCCTCTTTCTTCACACCACAGAATTTAATGGCTGAGCTCTGAGTAGTGGGAAGAACTGTTGTTTACGTGCGGAAAGGTCTGGATTAGGATCTCTGCTTCGCAAACTGACAAACAATAGAATGTTCAAGATCACTGATTGATCCACTCATTACAAAATGAAAGGAGTGAACACACAGTTCTCTTTGCTGAGTTTCACAAAGGATGGAGATGATTTAAATGAATAATCCTGGGCTTACTTTAATATGCCTTGAAGAAAAAATTCTAGAATTTTCTTCTCAAAGTTATAAAATTTCCATTCAAATTAAATTTTAAGGGAAAAGAATTACTGTAAGAAAATACTAAATCATAGTGGGATTTTCTAATACAACAAAAATCTGATGACACAAATGCTGAAAATTGGCAGATGAAGCTGGAAGCTGTCTCAGTGTATTCACAACCCTAATGCTGTATGAGACAAAGCTATCCCCAGAAACTGAGCTCCCTCCAGATGTGGTGGCAGATGGAAATGTGTGTGTATTTGTGAGTGTGTGTGTGTGTGCGCGCACGCGTGCACTTGTGCATGCACATACAGTATAAAAGAACTCTGATCAGGGATGCTCATGTTTTATCATAGTTGTTTGAGGTTTTTTTTTGTTTTGTTTTTTTGGTTTTTTTTTTTTTTTGGTTAGTTCGTTGTTTGTAAGAATTCAGCCTCTGGAACTAGCTATTGAGTTCCAGTTCTCAGAGCTGCCATTTACTGGATGCCTACACTTTATTAGACTCAGTTCTCTCATATATTTATGGGGGATTGTAATTTGAGTTTTTTTTCTGTAAAATATTGTTTTGAACTGTTAATGTTAATCAACAGGAGGTATGCCTCAGCAGTCGATGGTAGGAGTGGGCCCCCACATATAGTGAAGTTCATTCTTCAGTGGGGCAAGTGTGATCTGACTGCTCAAAGGAAAATATGCTGCTTCTTTAAAATTTTCTTTATCTACATGTTACAAAAACAAAGCTCTCTTGATGATTAACATTAACAGTTCAGCACAATAATTGGAATTAAAATGAATAGAAATCACAGATTAAGCTCAGATGCAGCAGTGGCTGCTATCAACAAGGCTGCTTTTATCTGAGGTCCAATTTCTGTAGCAATTAAGTTTCTTGAAAAAATAAAATAAACTTTTTACATTAATCTGATGGAATAATAGACTTGTTTTTTTGCTGTGAACAATTAAGCTGATGATGTTTCATTTATAAATTAACTTTGTGATGAGGAAGTTTTCATAAGAATTTTTGGGAAGTCTTTCGGGTCTACCATTTAGAAAAACTGAAGATATCTTATAAGTGACTTCCTCTGAATGTGTTATTATTTAGGATTGAACATTTATTTCTGTTCTTGGGGTTCATGCCCCCAAACTGCATTTCAAAGCAGGATTTATCACATTGTAAAGGCAAAAACAAAAGCCAAAATCAAAATCATACACTTCTATGGCCAATTAACACTAAACCCAACTTTATACTGTAAAGGAAGCTGTTCTGGTGAAGGTACAGTCTTCCATGAATCAGTTCTGTGGGAGAATCCAAAAGCGGCCTCCTGGAGAAGGAACCATACCAGCAGACCCTATGACCTGTCTGACAGCTAAGTGACTTTAATTTTAGAATAAGACTGGGTGTAATCATAGTATTTTCACAGTACAAAAATTTTATGTATTTTCTTAATTTGAAAATTATTTAGTATCAGTTACTTTAAAGCTGGGCTTTTATGTTTTCCTCCATTGAAATAAAATGTGCTCAGTAAGTTTTACTAAGTTAAAATTTGAAAATCCTGAAAAATATACCCAAGGAGTGAATATTTGTAATGATACTTAGTCGTATAATATTAATTAATAGTACCTGGGGATGATATCTTCTATGCCCCAACAGGTCGTAATTTTTTTCCTTAAAACAAAATTTCTGCTTAGTAGTGTAAACCAGTCTCTAGTCTGTGCTGTTTCTGTAAAGGATGTGAAGGACTGAACAGACAGAGTAAGTAGTTTGGGCTTTGTGGGCCAGACAGCGTCTGTAGCAACCGTTTGATTCTGTAAAACTGACAATAACGTAAACAAATGAGTGTGGCTATATTCCAGTAAATTTTATGTGGACACTTAACATTTGAATTTTATATAATTTTCACATATAATCTAATATTGTTATTCTTTTTATTTCTTCTCATCCATTTAAAATGTGTGAACTATTTTTAGTTCTCGGGATCTGCAAAAACAGGTGGCAGCAGGCAGCATCTGGCCCGTGAGCTGGGGTTTGCAGACCTCTGATCGCAGGCCTGGAGCTGCCACCTGTGCGTCACTAATTTCCTCTCGCTCCATTTTTCGATACCTGTACATGCCAGGCTTCTTCGTTGTGAGGCTGACCTGTGTCTTCTAGTAACTTCCACCTGTGGAGTCTAGATCATGCCATCTGGAGCAGCCTAGAACAAAATCTTTCCCCTCTGCTTTGGCCTTTATAAGGTGAAGGAAAGCCACTCGGACGCAGACTACTGTGTCTCCTCGTGTTACTTAAACCCTTCCCAGTTTCTTATGTTCAAAGGCAGTTCTCTGTTGGCTCCTTTGTTTTCTAATTAGTCTTTGTAAAATGAACACACACTAAACAGCAGCTTTAAGCTATTTTCTGTCTAATGGAGAAACTTAATAGATTTTCTATTTCTGAAGATCTTTGTACTAGGCAAGAGTGAAATGTGATCATTAGGGAGTTGTTGATTTATGTTGTTGGTGTTTATTTGTTTAAGTATAACCTCCTTCATTATAAAGATATCTTAGTTGCCAATGATCAGATAATCCTGGTCTCGTTTCCCATGCCCATTAGTGGTCAATTAGCACAAATACCTGCTGGAAGGGAGGAAGACTTTTCCTTCCCTTCTAGGACCTTTGGCTGATCTAATAATTAAATTGACATAGGCTAGATTAACAGGAAGAGAACAAAGGTAATTTCATATGTGTGGGAGTGCACAGAAATATGAGATTTGAAATGACCAACGTAGGTAGATTTTGTACCTTTTAGATAAAGAAAAAATAATTTTATGAATAACTGACAAATCAAAGAAGTGTGGGCTTGGGGTAGTAAATTAGTGAAGGAACAGCAAGTTTGCTAATATGGCCTTCTTGGCCCTAACTGTCCTCTCTCTGGTGATGAGGAAGCCTTGAACCCTCCCAGTAGGGGAGAACACTTCACATGCGGGGTTTATTTCCTGCTTTCAGGAGGACAGAGGAGGGTCAGAGTATCCTTATTGTACTGGCTGTTTCTTAAGTAGCTTTTACTCACAATAATCAATATGCCAAAATGGCATATTTTGGGGTGGCATATTCTGCTCCCCTTCACCGCACATGCACATTCTTCAGTCCTTAATTTCTAGAAATGATACTTGCCAGATGTGGTCATTGAGAGACAGTAACAGTACAAAAAATAACAGAGAGACATTAGATAAAAGTCATAAATCCTTTTTATTATCTGAGAGTGGAATCTAGTAAAGCGAACCAGAAAATAAGTTACTGAATTAAAATAGGTAACCATCACCTCCCAGGCAACTTTATTCACTCTTCATTTTCTCAAGCACCCTGATGACACATTAATATTATTTCCCTACTTGATTGGGTTATGTTATGCCTTATTTGGTCCAGTAGAGGATAGAGCTGCTTATAATGTTAAAGAAACATGAAAAGAAACATTCATTGTAACAAGCACTGAATTTTTCTAGATGAAAATATATTTATTTTTACTTAAAAAGTTCTGGCTGTTGATATTAAAAATTAAACTACACCATTTTAAGAAAAGAACCTGTCTTTTGTCTTGTGTCTGACAGGTTCTGGGTTGAATGATGGCCAGTGGCATGAGGTCCGCTTCCTGGCAAAGGAAAATTTTGCTATTCTCACTGTCGATGGAGACGAGGCGTCAGCAGTTCGGACTAACAGTCCTCTTCAAGTGAAGACCAGCGAGAAGTACTTTTTTGGAGGTAAGACTTCCATTTTTATTGGTTAACTAATACGTTGCTAAAAATGGAGTTTCAATAAAGGTTGAATCAATGAAGTGTTTATGTTGATTCAAAGGACTCAGTAGATCTCAGGAAAAAGCAAAGTGCAACCCCACTGAACTAAAAGGAGAGGCAGATTTATGTGGCTTCATGATACAGTATTAATATGATGTCACGTAGTCTTCTAGTCCAATTCAAATATTCTAGGTATAACGCATGAGATTCTGAATCCATCTATTCTCATAATATTATTCTGAAGAGTCAGGTCCTTGGATTATATATTAGTTACTTATTTCTGTGTAACTAATTACCTGAAACCTTAGTGATGTAAAACAACAAACATTTATTATCTTACAGTTTCTCTAGATCAGAAATTCAGAAATAACTTAGCTGGGTAATTCTGCCGCGGGGCCTCTCATGAGGTTGTACACAAGCTGTTGTCTGTGGCTGCATTATTTGAACCCTTAACTGGGCTAGAAGTTCTGCTTCCAGGAAGGTGCACTCACTTGATTGGCAGTTGGTGCTGGCTGTTCTCCAGGAGGCTGTGATCCTTCAGGTCCTTTCTTCTTGAAGTGATCTCTTCTGTAGATAATGGGGTGCAGTGGGGGGAAGAGAGAGGGGGCGAGAGAGAGAGGAGAAAAGTGGAAAATAGGGAGGGGAAGGAGAGGGGAGGGAAAAGCCAGTAAACAAGAGAGAACGTTTACAAGATAGAAGCCAAAGGTGGTTTATTTGTTTGTTTTCAATCATCCAGTCTTGGCAATCACATCCCGTCACTTCTGTAATACACGATTTGTTAGAAGCGAGTCACAAATCCAGCCCACACGTAAAGGAAGGGGATTACACAAGGAGCCAGGGGTCATTGGGGCCCTCTAAGAGGCTGCCTACACAGATTGCCTTATGTGAATCCATCTTATCACAGGTATCTTGGTTCTTAAGTAATAAAGAGATTAATGGAAAGGAAGATTCTCTTAATGATAAATTCTGCTACTATATGTGAAAGAGTGTTGTAGCACAGACTTGGGACATTTTTAATTTGAGAAAGGCATCCTGCCAGAAAATGATTCTTTTCATTAATGAAATATAGGGATACCTTTTATTAAAACGCTGGGTGTGTCATTTAGGTCAATATATCTTTCATTAGATTATTGCCTTTCTCAGTCTAATCACACAATGTGAGATCTAAAAAAATACACTGTATCCTTAGAAAAGGCTTTGGCTTAAGCTTTAAAAAACATAATGTGTACATATATTTGCCTCTGAAAATATACCTACTAATATCCACATATCAATGTATTTGTTTATATAGATATATTTATATAATCACCATTTTTATATGTTTTTGTAAGTATTAGAATAAAGCCACTTGAGAGCAGTCATTTTATACATTTTGTTTCCTGCTGTTTTCCCCAAGGTCCTAGAAAAATTCCTGGAATATAGCAGATGACCAATAAGTATTTGTAAATGAATTAGTAAATTCTGAAAAATAAGCAAAGCAAGTATTTTATTCCCAGTTATCTAAAAGAAGAAATAGAAGTCCTAAGAGCTGTAGTGACTTGCCACTGAGTTTATGGCCAGCCCCTGAATTCAAGACCTTTGGTTCTTGTGCCAGCGTGTCTCTCCCCTCTGCGTCATGACAATAACGAGTGACAACTCAGAGACAGAAGTCCTGAGCGAGACCTTTTGCTGCTTTTATCTTCCACGGTGTTCACTGGGAGTTAAAGCTACATGCATTTTAAAAGTCGCTCGATAGATATTTGATGAGTATATGAAAGTCAGACAAGATGTCTGATGAGTGAATAAACTGGACTTATTGATGTGAGAAAAAGCAACCCAGGGGCCAGACTGGTTTTCCTCCAAAAACATATTTAACGTGATGAGCTTTTGGCTAACAGTTTCCATTGCTGTCATGAAATGGATCACAGTAGTCCACTGGAAAGCTATTGATAATCCCTACTCATCCAAATGATGGTGGTATATCTTTGGCCATGCGTGAGCTTGCTGGATGCCTAAGGCAAGTTTTGATCTGTTTCCATGTAGATGGCTAGGCAAAAAGCTATAACCACAACTTTATGGCATAGAGTTTATAGGATATGAGGGCTTTATAGTGAGCAATTTACTGTTGCTTTGCAGATTCTGGTTTTCAAACCCAGCAGTCAGGATCATATTTTCTCCCCATGGGTCTTGGATCTGCCATTGGGAAATGCCGTCGGCAAATGATCATGATGCTTCTTTGGTTTTATCTTCATTGTCCGAATCCTCGGAGAGTGGGAGAATCACCTGGGGAACTCATTAGGATTCAGATTCTCAGGCCCCACTCCTAGAGCTTCACATGCAGGATGCTGAGAAACTGAAGAATTCTAAGCTTCACGTGATGCTGACACAAGTGATCTGAGTAACAGAATTATAATCTAAATTAGCCAATTTGCATGCACATGCATTAGATTCTTTCAGAGACAACATCAGCCACTAGAAAGTGAGATAAGTGAGAATTAGCTTCTGTCATCCAGCTTTGCCACCATACAGCAGTGCAGGGAAGCCCCAGGCCAAGGCCTGGCGCACATGCATACATTTATTAAATGAACTTTTATTAGCAAGCTGGAACAGCTCTGTTAATACAAACTCCTCTGCAAGCTCAGTGAAGTCCTGCCTCTCTGACTTGCTATGCCTCGAATAAAATGTTCTCTTTAAGCAGCTGTAGCAGTATTTTAGAAGCAGGATTCAGCTACGGCCAGAACCAGAGCCAGGCAACGGAAAGCCTCCTGAGCTAATAGCTGGCCCCGGGTCACTGATCCAGACTCTACGGCCACCTCCAAGGCTTCAGGTCGCAGACCTCAGTGGAGTCTTAGACCATTTCACACAGCCTATGGGTGTCTCTAAAAGATGTTTTGCATACATAGCCTTAATATCTTTTTTTTAATTGGCGTATACTCAGTTTACAATGTGTCAGTTTCTGGTGTACAGCATAATGTTTCAGTCCTACATACACATACATATATTCGTTTTCATATTTTTCATCTTTTTCATTAAAGATTACTGCAAGATGTTGAATATCTACGGTGTAACAGTAGAAACTTGCTGTTAATCTATTTTATACCTACTAGTAAATATTTCTCCAACTCCCGATTTATCCCTTCCCACCCTGTTTCCCCATGGTAACCGTAAGATTGTTTACTATGTCTGTGCGTCTGTTTCTGTTTTGTAGTAGATCATTAGTGTCTTTTTTTAGATTCCACATATGAGTGTTATCATATGATATTTTTCTTTCTCTTTCTGGCTTACTTCACTTAGAATGATGATATCCAGATCCATCCATCTTGCTGCAAATGGCATTATTTTATTTTTTTAATGGCTGACTGGTATTCCATTGTGTAAATATACCACAGCTTCTTTATCCAGTCATCTGTTGATGGACATTTAGGTTGTTTACATGTCTTGGCTATTGTCAGCAGTGCTGCTGTGAACATTGGGGTGCATGTAGCTTTTCAAATTAGAGTTCCCTCTGGATATATGCCTAGGAGTGGGGCTGCAGGAACATATGGTAAGTCTATTTTTAGTTTTTGAGGAATCTCCACACTGTTTTCCATACCAGCTGCACCAAACTGCATTCCCACCAACAGTGTAGGAGGGCTCCCTTTTCTCCACACCCTCTCCAACAGTTATCATTTGTGGACTTTTGAATGATGGCCATTCTGACTGATGTGAGGTGATACCTCATTGTAGTTTTGATTTGCATTTCTCTGATATTTAGTAATACTGAGTATTTTTTCATGTGCCCATTGGCCATTTGTATGTCTTCATTGGAGAATTGCTTGTTTAGGTCTTCTGCCCATTTTTGGATTGAGTTGGTTGTTTGTTTTTATTATGAAGTTGAATGAGCTGTTTTTATATTCTGGAAATTAAACCTTTATCATTCGCATCATTTGCAAATATTTTCTCCCGTTTTGTAGGTTATGGCTTTGTTTGGCTTATGGCTTCCTTTGCTGTACAAAAACTTGTAAGTTTAAATAGGTCCCATATGTTAATTTTTGCTTTTATTTCTATTGCCTGGGTAGACTGCCCTAGTAGAACGTTGTTACGGTTTATATCAGAGAATGTTTTGCCTATGTTTTCTTCTAGGAGGTTTATAGTGTCTTGGCCTTTATTTAAGTCTTTAAGCCATTTTGAGTTTATTTTTGTGTAAGGTGTGAGGGAGTGTTCTAACTTCATTGATTTGCATGTGGCTGTCCAGTATTCCCAACATGACTTGCTGAAGAGACTGTCTTTTCTTTGTTGTATATTCTTGCCTCCTTTGTTGGAGATTAACTGTAATTCTCTAGGTTTATGTCTGGGCACTCTGGTCTGTTCCATTGATCTATATGTCTGTATATATAGAAACCCTTAATATATTTTTGCTACATAGCCTTAATATCTTTAGCTTCACCACTGAGATCTCTTTCCTAACATTTATCTTCCATTTATGCTATTTAACAAAACACTATTTTTACCAAAGAAAACCCAACTTGGCATTCAGAAAGTTGATCAGAGGACTAGAGGGCAGAATCCCGTAGTAGTTGTGTCTGGAGTGGATGGAGTGTTTCTGCAGAATTCTGAAAGAATGCTCACATGGCTTCCTGATTAGAATGCTAGCTGCCTCTGAATTGTAACTTAAAACACACGCACATGCAACTTCGTTCTGTCGGTGCTGAAAATTTAAAGTAAGTTGCAGATATTATAATGATGACATCTTAAGATATATCAGTATAGTGGAAAGGAGAATTGACTTTGTTCTAAAATAAGTACTTTGAATCATACACACCTGATTTGGGATCACTTAGTTGATAGGTCATTTTAATAATTCATCTTTTTAAAATCTATTAAAAGGCAAGAGGATATGTTCTGCGAACATTGCACAGCATAACCTGTTAAACCCAGGATCTGACCCCAGGGAATGATAAATGCTGACTGCCTTTCCAATTCACCTGGAGTTGTTTTGTTTTTTCTTT